GAGTGTAGTCTTGACTACAGGTACTATTACACAGTTACAGTTACTGGACCTATTACATGTAGAGTATACCTTTTGACAACAATGATTAGTAGGAGTGTAGCAATACGTGAAGTCATGATGTGATACACATCCCATTATTGCTGGACTAGCGTTATAAATGAAAAGGAAGATATTTGTTTTGGGAAGTAGTGGCCAATATGTGTGGCTATACAGGGGTGAGAAGTAGCAGCAAGAGCATATTACTCAATCACCTCTCCGCTGTGACCAAGCAGACGAGGTGAGCATAGCGAGCGAATGAATTCCACCTACTGTAAAACAGGCTGGAATTATGATTATGGGGTTTCCGCTCTGAAAGCGGACAACCAGCAGCATAGCGATTGAGAACTTCTCACCCCAAACAGGCCACTGCGATACAAATCGACGGCCATCCACACAGCACGATATAGGTATTAGAAAACAGTGGATAGACGAACAGCAGAAACAACCCAAAATTAGCGCAAAAATTATGGAAATTATGTGCTCACTTATTGCCATTATTTTAGCATTATCTGATTTACTTGGCAGTTAAAGCATTGATAATATTGTGCACGAAAGAGTCCGTTGCACTGATTGACAGGTGCACCACGTCAGCCAAGTAATGTTCCGAGCTACATTTAACTGAATCAATCTGATCGTGGCGGACGCTGATCCCATGTAGCTCTTCAATTCTGTTCGCCAGTCTTCGATTGAGCTTTTTGCGAGAACGTTCAAGCTTTTTAATGTTCACAGCCGCCGGCCACACAACACGTGGCAACATGAAGGACCACACCAACCTGGTGTCCGCAGACGATAGTTTGGCATACAGCAAATCGTGATAGGATGTCGCCGTACATGCACCTGGCAGACATTTGGCACATGTCGTTTGAACCTAAATGGGTCACGAGCCATTTGGGAGTGGTGTTACCCGCAGAAGCCAAGAGATTGTTAAGGGAAGATCGGAAATGGCGCCATCGCCTCCCGCCTCGGACTTGCCATCGTGTAGTGCCAAGACGTTGCAAATGCTGCTCCAAGCTTCCCCTCGCTCTGGCCATGTAGCTGTCGCCAATTACCCAGGCCACATCTGTAACATATAGATCGGACAGCAGAAAAATTGCTACAACAACGTAATTAATAGAAGCCAAGCTAGTAAATATTAACTAGATTAAGTTAAGTATTCGTGAGTATTTTATTAGAACCTAATATAGCCTTGGTATGTGCGAGATGACCATCTACCATAATGCTGAATTATACTTTCATCCAAACCACTAATCGCCGCAGTTGTAGCAGCGCCTATTCTGAAAGAATATGAGGTATACTGGGTCACGTCATAACCGGGTTAATAGCTGTGCGCGACAGGCGAGTTCGGTGCGGCAATGCTCTTGGTCGCATTGCCGGGCCTTTCCCCTCACACCCAATTCAAAACCTCAAGGTTTCTCCCATTGGTTTAGTCAAAAAGAAATCTGACACATCAAATGTCTCCACAATCGAGGATAGTTACCGTCTTATACACCATCTCTCCCATCTCCGGGGATCGTCCGTCAACGATGGAATTTCCGCGGAATTTTGCTCTGTTCAGTACACCCGGTTCGGTAAGTTTAGTTCAGCGTTTAGGCAAGGGCGCTCAATTAGCAAAATTCAATGTTAAGTCAGCCTTCCGTTTGCTCCCAGTGCGTCCGGAGGATTTCCACCTGTTAGGTATGTACTTTCAGGATTTTTTGACAAATGTCTCCCTTTCGGCTGTTCTATATCATGCGCCTTGTTTGAAACATTTAGCCGTTTCTTGCAGTGGTGCATAACCAAATACACCAACAGTACATCCATCATGCACTATCTAGATGATTTCCTGATTGGAGGTCGCGCCCAATCAGGTAAATGTAAACACCTGTTAGATTCAAGCATTCAGCTTTTTAAACAATTCAGCATTCCCATAGCAAAAGAAAAAACAGTTCAACCAACCACGACCATCAATTTCCTGGGCCTAACCATAGACACCGTTTCTATGGAGATTAGAATACCACCAGAAAAAATCAATCAGTTGTGTCAGGAAATTGTCACCTTGTCACAAAAGCGTAAACTAAAAGTTGTTAATAGCTGTGCGCGACAGGCGAGTTCGGTGGTGACGCGAGAAGTGAGGTAACTCACCGTTATCTGTCGCGTGGTGTGATGACGTAGCAACTGATGACGTCATGTGTTAACGTAATGTTTGCAGCTGCGCTTGCCAAGGTCATGTTTATAAACAAAGGCACGTGGTATGGCGACGCCAACAAAAACACAATTTAGCGGTTAACGCTAAATGCAATTATTGGGATAACACTACTACAAAGATGCGTACATCAGACCGTATTACCAGAGGGAGAAGCATACACCAGTATTTCCATTCCATAAATTCATATTTTCTCTATTTTTGCAGGTTAATCAGAAATTTCAGACAGCAAAAGTTTGATATTGTAGATGTATTATAAGCTGGGGGGCACTGCACAGATTCTGCTATTTACAGCCAATCAGTAAATACTAGAGAATCCACATAAACTTGTTCTTCAACAGTTTCTGTTATTACTTACATGTTTTTACAGGTATTGTATTGAATCATATGTATTGCAGTACAAGAGTCGCAAATAGATTTGTTGTATTGAGAGTCTTGTATCAGGGTACTTTCTTGAATGTTACCAATGACTAGCAAACTCTCAAGGGTAATACGGTCTGATGTATGCCTCTTTGTGTCAGTGTCACCCGAGCCGGTATGCGAGGGATAACACTGCTACAAAGTTGCGAACATCAGACCATATTAACCGAGGGAGAAGCATACACCGTATTTATCTTAACGCCATGTTAAATGTACAAAATATCATTATTTATCCCCCGCCGCGCGTTTAGCGCGAAGCGGGGGATATAGTATTAGGTTCCGTCCGTACGTACGTACGAATTGGAATAACTTAAGAACCGTTGACTGGATTCTTTTCATATTTGGTACCTAGGTTCATCACAGTAAAAGGAAGGTGCCAGTCAGGTTTGGCGACCTTGACCTTCATTTCAAGGTCACAAGGCGACTTCAACGTTTTACCTGCACGTTAAGCTATCTCAAGAACCATTCACTGGATTTTCTTCATATTCCATACCAAGCTTTTACTAGGGAAGGCGCAGGGCCCAGTCGATTTTGGTGACCTTCACTTAATTTTCAAGGTCACAGAGACACTTTGAAGATTTCAGCATGTTAAATCGCATGTTAAGATAGTAATCAAGATATCGCAAAAAATATTCAGTGGATTTTCTTCATATTTGTCACAAAGATTCATCTAGGGAAGGCCCAGTCAATTTCGGTGACCTTCACATAATTTTTAGGGTCACGACGACACAATGAAGATTTCAGCATGTTAACCTGAATTGTCAGCAAGATATTTTAAGAACGGTTCACTGGATTTCTTCATAGACTTTCAAGACCTCCCTTGAATGTTTTTCAATAAGCAATTTCTTTAGTACTAGTTTTGCATATTTCATACACTATGACATTCATGTCAAGGTCAAAGTCAGTGTTGAAAATATGTGAGTGTTTGAACAACTAAACAGCAAGATATCAAGAGAGTTTGACTGGTCATGTTTTTGTTGACATTTAACTTCATCTTAAACTTTCATTACTTCATAAGTTTGATTTGATAATTTGTGGCGGGGGATTATGTCACCTTAGTGACAATACTTGTTTTATTTTATTTTGAAGGTCACTACCCACTTTATTACATGTAAACAAAATGGCGTCTGCCTCTCGACTGCATTTTTTAAATCAATGAAACATTCTGACAAGATTAAAACTGCTCTGAAAATGGTTAGTTATGTTTAGCTGAGTGTGCAAACAATTCAATGTATATAATAGTTTAAATAAAGCAGTGAAAGTCGATAAAATAAATGTGTACATAGTGAACTGAAAAACAGCTAATCGAACAGTTTTCGAACTCCGGGCACTGCATGCGTCATATTATGATGTCATACCATTGTTAGCAATACAGCTTCTCAGAGGAGAGTTCACCCTCCTGGGAGGGATGACACGGAAACTTGTTAACTCACCATTGACCAATGAAATTAAAGTATTTTACATAAAGGTAAGACAATAGATTGATTCCTCTTTGACTAGTGGACTAATTACATGGGGGTGTTCCTCTTTTGCCTGTGGACTCTAGATAGATAACCCTTTTTTACTAATTGACTAATTACAGATAACCCTTTGACTAGTGGACTAATTACAGGTAACCCTTGACTAGTGGACTAATTACAGGTAACCCTTTTGACTAGTGGACTAATTGCAGGTAACCCTTGACTATTGGACCCATCACTATTGGGATGTTTACAGGTAAAATGTTACTATTGGGATTATTACAGGTAACCCTTGACTAGTGGACCGATTACTGTTTGGATGTTTACAGTTAACCCTTGACTAGTGGACCGATTACTGTTTGGATGTTTACAATTAACCCATGACTAGTGGACCCGTTACTATTGGAATAATTACAGGTAACCTTGGCGTAAGGACATGAGCTGTGATTGTTGATGTACTAATGCCTGACGATGTTTTTTTATGTCACAGAAGCAGGTTTGAGAAGGGGACTGTTGTACATGATGTCCTGGCTGCCAAGCATTGTGACAACTGATAGTGAACCAACCGACTGCCCAGAGTCGTCCCCGGACTCAGCGAGGTCACAGACACAGCCTTCAAACATGTCTGGGTCGTCACGACAGCAGGGTGGACGGGGTGCCAGAAAGAAGATACCTCCTGATATACGTAAGATCATCAATGTCATCCAGAGCTTCAGGTGGCTGGGAGCAAATGTTTGGGAGTTAGGTTCAAGAAGTAGTTGGCTGTGGGATCATTTCATTATGTAGTGAAAGCTTATTGTCTTGTTTTAATGACTCATTGGGTAAACACAATTTCTTGTGCTGGCTAACGTCAGATGTATGTGAACTTATGTGCGCCGATTTATCACTGATGTGAAAAGTGAGTGAGTGAGTTAAGTTTTACGCTGCACTGAGCAATATTTCAGCTATATGGCAGCGGTCTGTAAATAATCGAGTCTGGACCAGACAATCCAGTGATCAACAGCATGAGCATCGATCTGCGCAATTGGGAATCGATGACATGTGTCAACCAAGTCAGCGAGCCTGACCACCTGATCGCATTAGTCGGCTCTAACGAGAAGCATGGGTTACTGATGATCAATATTCTAACCCGGATCTTCACGGGTATGATGTGAAAAGAAAATGTTGGGAATCTATTTATCATGCTAGTAACTTTGTTACACCAACCATTTCATGTTGCCCTCCATGCCTGATAACAGGGACAAAATGTTCAGTATCCAATGTCCATGAGGAAACAATATATCCATTCATTGCAGGATGTTTACATTATACAGAATCAGGGCAAAATGTTCAGTATCCAATGTCCATGGGGAAACAATATATCCATTCATTGCAGGATGTTTACATTATACAGAATCAGGGCAAAATGTTCAGTATCCAATGTCCATGGGGAAACAATATATCCATTCATTGCAGGATGTTTACATTATACAGAATCAGGGCAAAATGTTCAGTATCCAATGTCCATGGGGAAACAATATATCCATTCATTGCAGGATGTTTACATTATACAGAATCAGGGCAAAATGTTCAGTATCCAATGTCCATGGGGAAACAATATATCCATTCATTGCAGGATGTTTACATTATACAGAATCAGGGCAAAATCAGAAGGGCAAAATTCAGTATCCAATGTCCATGGGGAAACAATATATCCATTCATTGCAGGATGTTTACATTATACAGAATCAGGGCAAATGTTCAGTATCCAATGTCCATGGATGGAAACAATATATCCATTCATTGCAGGATGTTTACATTACATTATACAGAATCAGGGCAAAATGTTCAGTATCCAATGTCCATGGGGAAACAATATATCCATTCATTGCAGGATGTTTACATTATTTACAGTATCCAATTGGGGAAACAATATATCCATTCATTGCAGGATGTTTTACATTATACAGAATCAGGGCAATATGTTCAGTATACAGAATCCAATGTCCATGGGAAACAATATATCCATTCATTGCAGGATGTTTACATTATACAGAATCAGGGCAAAATGTTCAGTATCCAATGTCCAGAAACAATATATCCATTCATTGCAGGATGTTTACATTATACAGAATCAGGGCAAAATGTTCAGTATCCAATGGAAACAATATATCCATTCATTGCAGGATGTTTACATTATACAGAATCAGGGCAAAATGTTCAGTATCCAATGTCCATGGGGAAACAATATATCCATTCATTGCAGGATGTTTACATTATACAGAATCAGGGCAAAATGTTCAGTATCCAATGTCCATGGGGAAACAATATATCCATTCATTGCAGGATGTTTACATTATACAGAATCAGGGCAAAATGTTCAGTATCCAATGTCCATGGGGAAACAATATATCCATTCATTGCAGGATGTTTACATTATACAGAATCAGGGCATTGCAGGATGTTTACATTATTCAGGGCAAAATGTTCAGTATCCAATGTCCATGGGGAAACAATATATCCATTCATTGCAGGATGTTTACATTATACAGAATCAGGGGTAAAATGTTCAGTATCCATGTCCATGGGAAACAATATATCCATTCATTGCAGGATGTTTACATTATACAGAATCAGGGCAAAATGTTCAGTATCCAATGTCCATGGGGAAACAATATATCCATTCATTGCAGGATGTTTACATACAGAATCAGGGCAAAATGTTGAATCAGTATCCAATGTCCATGAAACAATATATCCATTCATTGCAGGATGTTTACATTATACAGAATCAGGGCAAAAAATGTTCATGGGGAAACAATATATCCATTCATTGCAGGATCCAATGTCCAAAATGTTCAGTATCCAATGGAAACAATATATCCATTCATTGCAGGATGTTTACATTATACAGAATCAGGGCAAAATGTTCAGTATCCAATGTCCATGGGGAAACAATATATCCATTCATTGCAGGATGTTTACATTATACAGAATCAGGGCAAAATGTTCAGTATCCAATGTCCATGGGGAAACAATATATCCATTCATTGCAGGATGTTTACATTATACAGAATCAGGGTAAAATGTTCAGTATCCAATGTCCATGGGGAAACAATATATCCATTCATTACAGGATGTTTACATTATACAGAATCATCTAGTATATGTTTTCATTGTTTTGCCAGGCTCGGTTGACAGTGGATATAGTGACATAAGCCATATGCAAGTAGTTGACCCAGATGCTATCCCGTCTATGGAACAGACTAGCATGAACACTATGAACCTCCAGCGGTCAGGAGGGAGCTCTGTAGACCATCCACCCTCAACCATGGACACAGTCAATGTCATCCATGAACACCTAGTACACCAAATCCAGAGGTCGGTGGGAGGGAAAGGAAGGGATGAAGACTCCTCGTCAATATCCCTCCCATCTATTCCAAGCTCCTCCTCCCCTGCCTCCGGTTCGTCTTCAGGTGATGCCCAGGATGTGACAGAAGAGGACATTCAGGAACTCCTGCATGAAATGCCGCCTGAAATGAGGGTTGATTTTCAAGATGCCATGGTGCTGTACTGCGAAGACGATAGGGACCTAGTTATGGAGTTTGTTGAACATTTCAGTGAAATAAGGCTACTTGGAACTGACATACCTAAGATTGTTTTAAATGATGATATTGCCATTTCAATTGGATCAAAGTTCAAGGCATTAGAGTTTGGCATTGATAGATGCACTTATGTTTTCCTCTACATAACAAAATCTTTTTGTGTTGATTCTTGGTCTGAATATTCTAGTGAGACTTGTTTAATGGAAGCAATTCATAATCCTGACAAAAAGTGGTGTGTTGTGCCAGTGTTTACAGAACCAAAGCGAAAAGCTAGTTTCCGAATCCCTCCAAGTCTTAATTCATTAAAGGGAATTCAATACTGGACAAATGACAAGTTTTTCAGAGATTCAGTGCAAAAACTTTTAGAGGAGAAGTTGTACATTCGGAGAAGAAATGAAAAACAGTTAACAAGAGAAAGAAAAGAGTGGGTGACAAAATGGAGAATACAAAAATATGAGGAAAAAAGTAAAAGAACGAGAGGAAAATCTAGCTCGACAAAAACGTGAGAATGATGCAAAGGTAGCAATGGAGCGCAAACTGGCAGAATTGGAAAGAGTTGAAAAGGAGGAGAAATTGAAGCGTGATTTAGAGCTGAGTAGTTTGAAGACTCCGTCGGAGAGTGACACACAGAGTATGTTGCAAAGATTTGCTCAAAAGTTTAAAGTTTCAACTGAGGCTAGAAGTGAGGAAAGCTATATACGCGATCCTGGTGTTACACCAAATGACGGCATGAAATGGCTGAAAAATAAGAGCAATCCGCAATCTTTGGGTTGTAATCCTGCACAAAATGTTCAACCTGCATCCTCAATACCAAGGTCTGCCTCTGATCATATCGGCTTGCCTTCAAGGGCAGCTAGAGAAGGATGTGGAATGCGTGGCCTGCAGGAGACAAGCATCAACCTACCCAGGAGCAATGAGAGCAGTACTGGCTTTAACATCTTGCCAGGAAACAGGAAGAATACTGGTTCAACAGGTGTTTCTAAATACTTTAGTCTGCCAAACAGACACACACATGACAGTAGTGAGCCTTCACAATTAAGCAGTTTGCCGCCTGAACCATCTATTGGCGATCTAGAAGAAGACTTCAGGTCTGTTGGACCTGGTTCACATAGTGGAAGGTCCCTGCACCAGGATCCAGGGCAGGGATCAGGCACTCACTCCCCCAGCCAACAAAGCAGAGGAGCCACATCAGGTTCTTTAAGGTCACAGTTGGTTACAGAGACTGCTCCTCGGACACTAGAACAAGACTGTTTCGGTTCAGACTGTGGGCAAGTTGACCCATCCGTCTTGACGACAGCTAAACCTGCAAAAGAGGTTCACTACCATTACCATTATTATAGTGAAACAAAAGATCGTTCACAGGCAAGGAAGAAGGAGCAAGCTCCTTTGAACATAGTTGGGGCCACAGTTGTTCAGATAGGGAATGACAACACAGTGAAGATGCTAGGTGGCCAGGTTCTGGAGGGAACAGAGGAGGTTCCGATGGACAGCGAGGAGGAAGACCCTCCTACTGTGCGGAAGGGACCAGAAGGGTAAGATACAGATGAATACTGCATTTTCAATTTTGAGGTTACTCGTTTTTTGGTTATGTGTTGAGAATGTTCAGAGTTGCACAAGTTTGTCAGTTTTGCACAACTTCCATGACAGTTTTATAACACAACTTCCATGACAGTTTTATATCACAAGTTCATCACAGACTTACAAGTGTGGAATATATTGGAGATTTCTAAGATGCCTAGCGGTTAGAACAATCGAAAAAAACAAACATTATCAGACAATAAAAGTATAGTTTTTTGATGACGTAACAATTGAATGACGTTATCCCGTCACTGTGCCATTCTAGTGTGCCCCCTCGTAATCGAACCATTTTACATTACGTCACAATGTAAGCGACGTCACGATGCATGTCAGTTGTCATCGCCTCGTACGGCCTCCTACAGTAAACTACACCATTGCATTCAGTTTCTTGGTTTGCTGTTGCTTCAAGCAGCTAAAATCACTGGTGGAAACATTATGTTTATGTTTTACGACGGTTAAAATGTCTCATTTCGACTCACAAGTTTTCAGCGACACGGTAGCGTTAAGTAATGTGTACATTCCCACAATGCAATTGTGGAATGTAAACGACTACTCAACTTCCTCTGGATGTACTGATCTAAACTTACGCTGGTAGTAGAAATGCAGCGTTCATATTACCCCATATGGTTTACGTTAATGACAGATGTAATTAAAATAATTCAAAGAAGATATTTAATCCGAGCGTAAACCGTCATCAAACTGTTATCATTTGTTTTTTCTGGTAGCGTTCGTCTTAGCGTTAGGGGCAGACACATCAATAGAACAGCCAGTTAGCCCCATGCGAGGATTCTTAATTTAGGTCACAGACACCGTCGTTTGTTTTCTGCCTTAAATTAATCGTAATTATCTTTAGAAAGTATTAAGTTTGGCATCTTAGAAAAGAAATACAGTTAAGCCCTACCACCATGTATAGTGTAATAAAACACACTTTAAGCCCTGAACTATAATAGCGTTAAAGCACTTTCGGACGCAAAGCGTCCTCGTGCTTTAACTATAATAGTTCAGGGCAAAAGTATGTTTTATTACACTATACATGGTGGTAGAGCGAAGTGTATTTCTTAATTAACATATTTTGTTTTTCTCCTGTACCAAATGCTTGGGCACGCCAAATAACAGCTCCCGTTGCCATGAATTTTTTCATCCATTTTTTTTTAGAGTGCCTGGTCAGTCATCAGTTTCAGGAAGTCAGCCTCCATCTACCATATACCAAGACAACAACCCTTCAGTGGCGCCTCATCGCCCATGCCCAGTACACCTGCCCTCCAGGGCTCCAGAGCCACCTCGGTTCTCGCATACTACAGCTGCAGCAGCAACTCCATCACAGCATGTGGCGCCAAGAAATCAGAAAGGCCAACCAGCAGCATCCGCTAATGTCTCAAGTACAGCTCAACATCTTCCGCGGAGCTCCTCAGCAGCAGCAGCACCAACTGTGACATCGTTAGGGCCGGTGAACTCAGGATTTGGGGACATGCCGAGTGTGCAGAGACACACCAGTGAATCCCTGTCCTCATTGCCACCTCAGCCATCTGCTAGGGTGAGGCCTGTGGGTGTGGCAGCCCTGATGCCCCGGGGGGTTGGTGGGAAGGAGGGCGGTGGTAGTAGTGGGGACTCCTCTCACGAGAACATTTCCACTGTGAATGAACCAGCTGTCTCAGCACTACAGAATGTGGGAACACCACCACAAGAACAGATTGAAATGGCTACGGAAAGTGTTGAAAGTTCTCCAGGAGATAATGAAGACCCAATTACAGAGCAGACACTAGCAAAACAACGAGCTCTTGAGTGTGTGAGTAGTTGAGACTTTAACTTAGCAGTTGTAGGAAGGTTTTGCCAAGCTATGGTAGGATTCAGGACTATGTCATTTCAATCCCCCACAACGCGTTTTGCGGGGGGTATTAAAATGGACTCCGTCCTTGCGTGTGTCTGTCCGTCTGTCCGTGCACATTTGTCTTTTCTGGAGCAGAACTCTAAAACCGTTCAATATTTCTTCACCAAACTTGGCACATAGATAAGATCTTGTGGTGTACTGGTGCCTTTTGGTAGTTTTGGAATTCTGAATAAAATATTTTTGGCTTTTCCATGGCAACAAGTTTGACTAAAACAGAAATTAGTGGTAGTGCACTTTTCCGGAGCAGAACTCTAAAACCGTTCAATGTTTCTTCACCAAACTTGGCACATACATAGATCTGGTGGTGTACTGGTGCCTTTTGGTAGTTTTGGATTTCTGAATAAAATATTTTTGGCATTTCCATGGCAACAAGTTTGACATAGACTGAAATTGGTGATAGTGCTCCTTTCTGGAGCAGAACTTTAAAAACCTTTCAATACTCTCCTTCCAATTTTCTATATACACACCTAAATATTTGACATAAGCATAACTCGTAGACATAATCATGAAGAGTATTTTGCCATTGTGGGGGATATTGATGACTTTGTCTTCTTGTTATATTAATTGGAGTTCTATGGATATACAACTTCTTTAATATTATATGAGCGACTTTTCGGTGTAGCTACTAACAACGTTATCAAGCATATGATCATCATGTGTTAGTAGCTACACCGAAACATCGCTCATGTTATATTAAACAAGTTGTATCTCTATTCTCAATCGAACTCTCCTTGTTGTTCATCACACCAACTTCTAAATGCCACAAGTTGCTGTAGGCCCACCATGAATAGTTTCCCTTATTATAAGACGTTTTACATTGTTTCTGGTAACCAGTTTGTATCAGAACAGAAATAGAAAATGGCAAATATATGGTTTGCAGCTTATCCAGATCAGCTACTGACAATACATCCTCATGCAAACATGGTCACACCCATGCTAGCTTGGGGAGTGCATATTAACTTGACTATACTATGTTATCTTTGACTGTAGAAATGTCATCTAATGTCACACCCAATTGCTGTTCACAGGAAGTGGACTAAAGTTGACTAAAGTGGACGCTGTGTGAGTGTGGCTATATCAGATGGCAGACAATGGAGACAGCTTATGCTTCAGTATTTAATGGTGAGAGTGCCATGGTCATTCTGTGCAGACATGCCGTGGTCATTCATCAGTGGAGACAGTGCTGTGGTCAATCAGTGGAGACAGTGCTGTGGTCAATCAGTGCAAACAGTACTGTGGTCAATCAGTGCAAACAGTGCTGTGGTCAATCAGTGCAAACAGTGCTGTGGTCAATCAGTGGAGGAGGTGGCACAAACAAATGTCATGTGATAGTGAACTAGAGGAAGCCTTTTAAGTCACACAGATACTGTAACTATGGTAACCATAATTGATTATAGTCAGACATTAAGCCTGATATATTTAAGTGTTATTCACGAGTGGTAATAATTCAGACAGGATTGACTTCTGGTCTTCAAGTATATGTTTTCAGTGCGGTTCCATACAGGTGCTTTTTTCCTACCCAAGCAAGTGACCACCACCTTGTCAGGACAAGGATATGCAGCTTCACTGTCTGTAAATTGGGGCTCAGATTTCATGAAGTGCATCTTTCATTCTGCATGCTATACTGAATATGTCATGTTTCCTTATTATTTTTGTATCATAGGAAAGTTTGTTTCCACATGACCAGTATGTAACACAATTTTAAATGCTGAGATACACTGTGCAGATCCAGATTTCTGTTTAGTCTTTCAATGTTTGAATCCACTGATAGTTCTGAAACCAGGGCCTCTAAAAGTCAATTTGTGCATAATATACCTCCATTTGTCATCATGGTGTATTATCAAGCAGCCGTAGAGTGTTGGTCCACCTTGACACATGATGCACTAACACAAACGTATGTTAACCGTCACACGCCTGGATGCGTCGTGATAGAACGGGACAAATCGGCTACCATACAACCTATCTACCCATGAGAACCAGGACAAAACGGGCATCATGTGTGAAACAACCGTGACAAAACGCCAAACAAATGTGGCTGACCGCAACAAAAGGTGAAAGGACTGTGAGATGCCAGGGAATACACATGCCTCCCGTCCCACTTGGGGCCCACTACAGACCGTCTACAAGCTTAATTACCGCCTATTACATGCTGTCACGTTTTGTTGCGTGCCCCCCGTAGTACTACAGCCTACTAGGCTTCTCATTAGTCTGTGACGGCCGTGGCAAATTTTTGAACAGTGTAAAAATCTGACATGGTATCCACAGCAATCACAGACTGTCACATTCAGTCCCCCTATGTTGTCTCATGTCCATCACATTTTGTCTCTGTTTCACTACGTTTCGGCAAAACAGGGCTGCTGTGTAACCCTAGCATTATAAGGAATCAGGCCACGCCCTCTGCTTGTCAGGTGATAGTAGTCCTTGCCTTTATCATTTGCGACTACTAGCCAGAACTTCACTAATTGCTATTTTTTGTTTAAATTTCAAGTTAATATGTGTGCCATAATCAGATGAGCTTCTGTGAGCAGGCAGGATGTTGCTAGACCTGTTCTGTGGTTGATGCTGCTTGTGCTGTCACCTCTACATCATTTCACACAGAAATGTGTTAGTGAGCTTTGTGACATTCACCTCATTAAACCCCGGTGATGAATTCTGGTCATGTACACCACTCACTGCCATCATCATTTTGCAGGCTTGTTAAAAACAGTTGCCATGGTTACCAGGTGTTTAGCTGTATATATTGCTTATTTAATTTATAGTACAATGAACTACTGACACCCTGCTATAACCTTCAATGTATGGATGCTCGGAAAGAGACGACAGCCGTGATAACCCCACTCACACACCCCAGAGACACGTAGATTGTTCCACTTTGTGATATGACTTTGGATTTGTGTTCCACCCTAAAGACTGTACAGTGGAGAAATCATGTAATGTGTTCAGACAAACAGTTATATTATAATATGTTGACTTTTTGTTACTGTACCATAGCAATCTTGCGAAAAGCAACATCCTGCAAACTGCCAAGTTGCTGCATTTTGATAATGAGATAGCACAGTAGAAGCAGGAAATATCGCAGACAACTGCTATTGTTTTGGGTTTCTTAACCAAATGTCATGATATGTACCTGACATTTTCTCCCAATGCCTCAAAACCTGTACAGACACATCCTGTATCTCTATGCTCAGTATCAGCAGTAATTAGATTTATTCTAAATATTCTAAAACACCAACATGCATTGTTTTGCGGTATGACATATTTGAAAGATTTTCCTCAATTCTACCAATTGTTTGCAGTTGTTGTTTGTTAATGGCATGTGAGAGTGAAATCTTGATATTGTTTATCTCTGCGCTGTATTTGTATTTTTTATACTCACCTGTCAAAACGTGAGAAAGTTATGGTCATGAAAATGTTGCCGTGTAAATGAGCTTCTGTTCCCCCGCGAAGTCTCTCCTGCACATCAGCCAATTCTGTGATCAGGTAGACGCAATGCTTGGCTTGTACACACTAATTATGTTGAGTTAGCTTGTCACTTGACAACTCTTGACAGCTATTCATCATGTATATATAGCTTTAGGGGTGAAATGATACACTGGTTCACGGATGCATCTTCGGTTTTCTGGTAAAGATATACATGATACATGTTTTGCTGTATCGATACAAGAGGATATTTGTTGGTATAACTTTCTACTCATCAAATGACACTCTGCTCTGAAATATTTGACATGAATATCCACATAATGACATACATCATAACCTTGCTGGATTATTTCACCCCTATACAGCATACATTTCAGCATGTATTGAACTCCATCAAAATGGTGAGGGATGAGTTGTTGTTGAGGGATCAGTAGCCTTCCTGTACTAGCTGGAGGATTAAATCTGGATGTAAGACATAGATGACTCAGAAAACTGTCTAAGGGATCAGGAAAAGAAGGAAATCTGTGATATCTGCTGGAGGATGCCTATATCTTCCTGTTTCTACATGTTGTAGCAATCAGTATGTTATTAAGTGGTCTGTTGGATAGCGTGTGCATGGAGACCACCTTGGTGGTCTGTTGGATAGCGTGTGCATGGAGACCACCTCGGTGGTCTGTTCTATAGCGTGTGTATGGAGACCACCTCGGTGTTTTGTTGGATAGTGTGTGCATGGAGACCACCTCGGTGGTCTGTTGGATAGCGTGTGCATGGGGGTGGTGGTCTGTTGGATAGCGTGTGCATGGAGACCACCTCTGTGGTCTGTTGGATAGTGTGTGCATGGAGACCACCTCGGTGGTTTGTTGGATAGCGTGTGCATTGAGGTGGTGGTCTGTTTTTCGATAGCTTGTGCATGGAGACCACCTCAGTGGTCTGTTGGATAGCGTGTGCATGGAGACCACCTATGTGGTCTGTTGGATAGTGTGTGCATGGAGACTGCCTCAGTGGTCTGTTGGATAGTGTGTGCATGGAGACCACTTTCGTGGTTTGTTGGATAGTGTGTGCATGGAGACCACTTTCGTGGTTTGTTGGATAGTGTGTGCATGGAGACCACCTCAGTGGTCTGTTGGATAGTATGTGCATGGAGACCACCTCGGTGGTCTGTTGGATAGTATGTTCATGGAGACCACCTCGGTGGTCTGTTGGATAGTGTGTGCATGGAGACCACCTCGGTGGTCTGTTGGATAGTGTGTGCATGGAGACCACCTCGGTGGTCTGTTGGATAGTGTGTGCATGGAGACCACCTCGGTGGTTTGTTGGATAGCGTGTGCATTGAGGTGGTGGTCTGTTTTTCGATAGCTTGTGCATGGAGACCACCTCAGTGGTCTGTTGGATAGCGTGTGCATGGAGACCACCTATGTGGTCTGTTGGATAGTGTGTGCATGGAGACTGCCTCAGTGGTCTGTTGGATAGTGTGTGCATGGAGACCACTTTCGTGGTTTGTTGGATAGTGTGTGCATGGAGACCACTTTCGTGGTTTGTTGGATAGTGTGTGCATGGAGACCACCTCAGTGGTCTGTTGGATAGTATGTGCATGGAGACCACCTCGGTGGTCTGTTGGATAGTATGTGCATGGAGACCACCTCGGTGGTCTGTTGGATAGTGTGTGCATGGAGACCACCTCGGTGGTCTGTTGGATAGTATGTTCATGGACACTATTGGATAGTGTGTGCATGGAGACTACTATATGTTTGTACTGATTGGGGTAACCATGATAAATTGTGGCATGGTATGACAGTGGGCTAGAACTCATATATATTTTCAAATATGTCATTAAATTGTTTGATAATGAATTGTGTACAGTGTTAGCTGAATGCATGGCTATGTATAGATATGCTTCAAGTGCTTTTGTAAATTGACATTCTAAAGCGCCATCCCTGGAAGATTTGGAAAATAAAGTATGTATTGTAATACACCAGTACATTGTGTGTTCATTTGCCAGATACTAAAACATGTGTTTCAGTGTTGTTTAACATATATAGGAGAAAATGTCACTTAAGTTCCCATATTCAACTTCCCAGGAGTGCTACCCCTTTAGAATAGGTCTCAAGAAATCCACTGACCTTTATGACCCACCACTGCCGCTGTTACAGGTCATTGGCTCCCTCCCTCTGCAAGCCGTCTGCGGTCTGCTGTTTATTTTGTTGACAGTTACATAGACAGATTCTTTAATACAAATGCATAAAATCAGTGATTTACAATGTGATTAGGTTGTCTGACAAAACATCCACTTGCACAGTTTGAGATCGATTGGGTCATTGGATGAAGAGATATTTACAAGAAACCGGGTCCACATGCATTTCATGCCAAACTATAGTCTACCTTCATCATGTTTGATCCAAACCCAGTGATTGACTGCATGAGCAATGGCCACCTCTAACCTGCCCTGCACTGGAGTACAATGACATGCAGTCAAGGTTTCCAATCTGAGCAGCCCCTCCACTGGAGTACAATGACATGCTGTCAAGGTTTTCAATCTGAGCAGCCACTCCACTGGAGTACAATGACATGCAGTCAAGGGTTTCTTAATCTGAGCAGCCGCTCTACTGGAGTACAATGATATGCTCTCAAGGTTCTCAATCTGAGCAGCTCCCCTCCACTGGATTACAATGACATGCTGTCAAGGTTCTCAATCTGAGCAGCCTCTCCAATGGAGTACAATGACATGCAGTCAAGGTTTTCAATCTGAACAGCCCATCCACTGGAGTACAATGATATGCTCTCAAGGTTCTCAATCTGAGCAGCTCCCCTCCACTGGAGTACAATGACATGTTGTCAAGGTTTTCAATCTGAGCAGCCGCTCCACTGGAGTACAATGACATGCAGTCAAGGTTCTCAATCCGAGCAGCCCCTCCACAGGAGTACAATGACACGCTGTCAAGGTTCTCAATCTGTCCAGCCCCTCCACTGGAGTACAATGACATGCTGTCAAGGTTTTCAATCTGAGCAGCCGCTCCACTGGAGTACAATGACATGCTGTCAAGGTTCTCAATCTGTCCAGCAACTCCACTGGAGTACAATGACATGCAGTCAAGGTTTTCAATCTGTCCAGCCCCTCCACTGGAGTACAATGACATGCTGTCAAGGTTTTCAATCTGAGCAGCCGCTCCACTGGAGTACAATGACATGCTGTCAAGGTTTTCAATCTGTCCAGCCACTCCACTGGAGTACAATGACACGCAGTCAAGGTTCTCAATCTGAGCAGCCCCTCCACTGGAGTACAATGACACGCAGTCAAGGTTTTCAATCTGAGCAGCAGGTCCACTGGAGTACAATGACATGCTGTCAAGGTTCTCAATCTGAGCAGCCCCTCCACTGGAGTACAATGACATGCTGTCAAGGTTCTCAATCTGAGCAGCCTCTCCACTGGAGTACAATGACATGCTGTCAAGGTTCTCAATCTGAGCAGCACATCCACTGGAGTAGAATGATATGCTGTCAAGGTTCTCAATCTGAGCAGCTCCCCTCCACTGGAGTACAATGACATGCTGTCAAGGTTTTCAATCTGAGCAGCCGCTCCACTGGAGTACAATGACATGCAGTCAAGGTTCTCAATCCGAGCAGCCCCTCCACAGGAGTACAATGACATGCTGTCAAGGTTTTCAATCTGTCCAGCCCCTCCAATGGAGTACAATGACATGCTGTCTAGGTTTTCAATCTGAGCAGCCGCTCCACTGGAGTACAATGACATGCTGTCAAGGTTCTCAATCTGTCCAGCCCCTCCACTGGAGTACAATGACACGCAGTCAAGGTTTTCAATCTGAGCAGCAGGTCCACTGGAGTACAATGACATGCTGTCAAGGTTCTCAATCTGAGCAGCCCCTCCACAGGAGTACAATGACATGCTGTCAAGGTTCTCAATCTGAGCAGCCTCTCCACTGGAGTACAATGACATGCTGTCAAGGTTTTCAATCTGAGCAGCCCCTCCACTGGAGTACAATGATATGCTCTCAAGGTTCTCAATCTGAGCAGCTCCCCTCCACTGGAGTACAATGACATGCTGTCAAGGTTTTCAATCTGAGCAGCCGCTCCACTGGAGTACAATGACATGCAGTCAAGGTTCTCAATCCGAGCAGCCCCTCCACTGGAGTACAATGACATGCTGTCAAGGTTTTCAATCTGTCCAGCCCCTCCAATGGAGTACAATGACATGCTGTCTAGGTTTTCAATCTGAGCAGCCGCTCCACTGGAGTACAATGACATGCTGTCAAGGTTCTCAATCTGTCCAGCCACTCCACTGGAGTACAATGACATGCTGTCAAGGTTTTCAATCTGAGCAGCCTCTCCACTGGAGTACAATGACACGCAGTCAAGGTTCTCAATCTGAGCAGCCCCTCCAATGGAGTACAATGACACGCAGTCAAGGTTTTCAATCTGAGCAGCAGGTCCACTGGAGTACAATGACATGCTGTCAAGGTTCTCAATCTGTCCAGCCGCTCCACTGGAGTACAATGACATGCAGTCAAGGTTTTCAATCTGTCCAGCCCCTCCACTGGAGTACAATGACATGCTGTCAAGGTTTTCAATCTGAGCAGCCGCTCCACTGGAGTACAATGACATGCTGTCAAGGTTCTCAATCTGTCCAGCCCCTCCACAGGAGTACAATGACATGCAGTCAAGGTTCTCAATCTGTCCAGCCCCTCCACTGGAGTACAATGACATGCTGTCAAGGTTTTCAATCTGAGCAGCCGCTCCACTGGAGTACAATGACATGCAGTCAAGGTTTTCAATCTGTCCAACCCCTCCACTGGAGTACAATGACACGCAGTCAAGGTTTTCAATCTGTCCAGCCACTCAGCTGGAGTACAATGGCAAGCAGTCAAGGTTTCAATCTGAGCAGCTCCCCTACACTGGAGTACAATGACATGCAGTCAAGGGTTTCAATCTGAGCAGCCGCTCCACTGGAGTACAATGACATGCAGTCAAGGTTCTCAATCTGTCCAGCCCCTCCACTGGAGTACAATGACATGCTGTCAAGGTTTTCAATCTGTCCAACCCCTCCACTGGAGTACAATGACATGCAGTCAAGGTTTTCAATCTGTCCAGCCACTCAGCTGGAGTACAATGGCAAGCAGTCAAGGTTTCAATCTGAGCAGCTCCCCTCCACTGGAGTACAATGACATGCAGTCAAGGGTTTTCAATCTGAGCAGCCACTCCACTGGAGTACAATGACATGCAGTCAAGGTTTTCAATCTGACCAGCCGCTCCACTGGAGTACAATGACATGCTGTCAAGGTTCTCAATCTGAGCAGCCCCTCCACTGGAGTACAATGACACGCTGTCAGGGTTCTCAATCTGAGCAGCCGCTCCACTGGAGTACAATGACATGCAGTCAAGGTTCTCAATCTGTCCAGCCGCTCCACTGGAGTACAATGACATGTAGTCAAGGTTTTCAATCCGACCAGCCACTCCACTGGAGTACAATGGCATGCAGTCAAGGTTTCAATCTGAACAGCCCCTCCACTGGAGTACAATAACATGCTGTCAAGGTTTTCAATCTGTCCAGCCACTCAACTGGAGTACAATGGCATGCAGACAAGGTTTCAATCTGAGCAGCTCCCCTCCACTGGAGTACAATGACATGCAGTCAAGGGTTTCAATCTGTCCAGCCACTCCACTGGAGTACAATGACATGCTGTCAAGGTTCTCAATCTGAGCAGCCCCTCCACTGAAGTACAATGACATGCAGTCAAGCTTTTTAATCTGTCCAGACCCTCTACTGGAGTACAATGACATGCAGTCAAGCTTTTTAATCTGTCCAGACCCTCCACTGGAGTACAATGACATGCAGTCAAGGTTCTCAGTCTGAGCAGCCCCTCCACTGGAATAAAATGACATGCTGTCACGGTTTTCAATCTGAGCAGCTGCTCCACTGGAGTACAATGACATGCAGTCAAGGTTCTAAATCTGAGCAGCCCTTCCACTGGAGTACAATGACATGCTGTCAAGGTTCTAAATCTGAGCAGCAGGTCCACTGGAGTACAATGACATGCTGTCAAGGTTCTAAATCTGAGCAGCCCCTCCACTGGAGTACAATGACATGCAGTCAAGGTTCTAAATCTGAGCAGCCCCTCCACTGGAGTACAATGACATGCTGTCAAGGTTCTAAATCTGAGCAGCCCCTCCACTGGAGTACAACATGCTGTCAAGGTTCTAAATCTGAGCAGCCCATCCACTGGAGTACAATGACATGCTGTCAAGGTTCTAAAACTGAGCAGCCCATCCACTGGAGTACAATGACATGCAGTCAAGGTTCTAAATCTGAGCAGCCCATCCACTGGAGTACAATGACATGCTGTCAAGGTTCTAAATCTGAGCAGCCCATCCACTGGAGTACAATGACATGCTGTCAAGGTTCTAAATCTGAGCAGCCCCTCCACTGGAGTACAATGACATGCTGTCAAGGTTCTAAATCTGAGCAGCCCCTCCACTGGAGTACAATGACATGCTGTCAAGGTTCTAAATCTGAGCAGCCCTCCACTGGAGTACAATGACATGCTGTCAAGGTTCTAAATCTGAGCAGCCCCTCCACTGGAGTACAATGACATGCTGTCAAGGTTCTAAATCTGAGCAGCCCATCCACTGGAGTACAATGACATGCTGTCAAGGTTCTAAATCTGAGCAGCTGCTCCACTGGAGTACAATGACATGCTGTCAAGGTTCTAAATCTGAGCAGCCCCTCCACTGGAGTACAATGACATGCTGTCAAGGTTCTAAATCTGAGCAGCCCCTCCACTGGAGTACAATGACATGCTGTCAAGGTTCTAAATCTGAGCAGCCCCTCCACTGGAGTACAATGACATGCTGTCAAGGTTCTAAATCTGAGCAGCCCATCCACTGGAGTACAATGACATGCTGTCAAGGTTCTAAATCTGAGCAGCTGCTCCACTGGAGTACAATGACATGCTGTCAA